AATACTTGCTGTTTTTGAATTTGCTTATATTTTCTACTAGAATATAGTTTCCATAAAAGTAGGCAATTGTGTTGTGCCCTATTATTTATATTCCCATTGCCTAAAATAGTTCTATGAACATAGGAGACATGTGGTGGGGAGTTTTAACCACATAGGTGACATAATTAAATTAAGCAACAATTACTCTGGTTGCAGTATGGAAAATGCATTAAAGGAGATCAAGTGAGAGAAGAATTTTAGGAGCTCTGTTATTCAGTGGCTGAACATTTGAGTTCTTGCTGCTATTTAAGCTTTTTAGCTTTTCAACAATTTTCATGTTCAAAAATGTCATTTGTTTATGCACTAAAGTTATGTGTGAGTTGACTAGTTCTTGCAGCACATGGACCAATACAGTCACTCTCCCACTGAACCTGCATTAATTTCAGATTGCTTCATTTTGCCTCTTGTAGTGAATCCTATGGAGCTAGGCTTGTTGAGTCCCTACAGTGACTGAGGGAGTCAATTAGAGGGGCCAGTTGCTACTGAAAATGCTCGCAAACCTAAGTCCTAATTTACCCATAAACACCAGCTAGCCAGGGTGTTATCACTGCTATAATTAGTTAGCAAGCCAACTTAGCACCTCAGTGCTATAATTTGAGGTAAACCCTGAGGAGTCTTAGACCTGAGTATACATGGCACAGTTAAGTTTAATCTGTATACAGTTTGTCTCCTTGAAGTCTGGGAATCAGTTTATGCTATTGGTCTTCTTTGACACTCTCCAGGTCACACAGGTTTGTACTATCTAGGTCATAATTAGCCTGAATTATAGTCAGTAATGCTAGCTTCACAGTGGCATGTGAACAAACTATTGTGTTTAACAGTGAGTGAATCAATCAATAATATATTAGCAGTAGCATCGCTAACTCACATGGTATAAAATGCAAGACGAAGTTCAGATGTTGTTATATTTTAAAATAAAATGTATATTGCTTACTGTGTTTGGTGAATTCTAGTTTTTTTTGAAGTAGATAAATCTGCTTCTATAATAATGTTCTACCCTAAGAAAATATTGCTGACACAAATTAGTTTATGGAAATTTTGTTTTTGCTACTACTTATAAATGAGTCATGGTCGAATATGTTGTGTATCTGCAGTTAATGGTATTTGCTAATATACAAGGTCCTTGTTATCTTAGTGCCAAAAGACTACTTAAGTGAATTCATAAAATATCCTCACCAGAAATTCATAGGAAACAGTGAAAAGAGTTTGTTACTTTCCTTTGAAAAACACAAACCTTAAAAGTTATATTTTATTGTAACTTGATTTGTTTATAGTTATATACAAATTATTGGAAAAGTACAAAGCACAAACTACAAAAAATCACTCAGGAAATAATAGATAACCTGAATAGCTCTCTATGTTAAGGAATTTAAGTTTGTAGGTTTAAACCTTCCCCAAAAGAAAACTCCAGAATCAGATAGCTTCATGGGTGAATCCTACCAAACATTTAAGAAAGAAAAAAATGCCAATTCTTTACAGATTCTTCTGGAAATTTGAAGAGGATAGCATTGTTCCTAACTCATTCTATGAAGCCAGCATCATCCTGGTATCAAAGCTATGTGATAACATTGTAAGAAAAGAAAACTACAAACACCTCTTATGCAACAATTTTAACAAAATTTCAGATGAAATCCACAATTTCTGGAAAGGATAGGTACATAATGACCAACTGGGATGTATCCCAGGAATGCAAGGTTGGTTTAACATTTGAAAATTAATCCATTACCATATTAACAATTAACGTTCGAGGAAACCTTATGATCATTTCAATAGACATAAACAACATTTGGCAATATCCTCATACAAATTCTCACCAAACTAAAAATAGACATCAATCATACAACTGAATGTATAACTTGGACCCATAAAACATCTAGAAGAAAACACTGGAGAAAACCTTTGTGACCTTGAGTTAGGCAAAGATTTCTTTTATACAACACTGAAAACATGGTCCATAAAAGGAACAATTAATAAATTGGAGTACATTAAAATTAACTGTTCTAAAAACACAAGAGAATGAAAAGATAAAACACAGACTGGGGGGTAATATTTCAAATCCCATATCTGATAAAGGACTTGAATACAGGATATACAAACAACTTTAAAAATTCAAAATAGAAACAATATACTAAATAATGGGCAAAAGCTTTAATTATTTAATTCACCAAAGAAGATCACAGATGGTAAATAAGCATATGAAAAGATGTGCAACATCAGTATTCATTAAGGGAATGCAAATTTAAAGCATGATGACATACTACCATATGTCCACTAAAATGTCGACAGTTTTAAAACCTGACCATCCCAAGTATACAGAGCAACCAGAACTGATACACTGTTTGAAGGAATGCAAAGCAGTACAGTGTCTTTGTAAAATGGCATAACAGTTTTTAACATATTTAAACATACACTTACAATATGACCTAACCATTTCACTTTGAGATATTTGCTCAAAAGAAATTAAAGCAGCCAGGAGCTGCTTTAATTTCAGGGTGGCTCACCCTTTAATTACAAGGTGGCTTACCCTTGTAATCCTAGCATTTTGGGAGTCTGAGAGGGGCAGATCACTTGTGGCCAGGAGTTTGAGAACAGCCTGGCTAGCATGGCGAAACCCTGTCTCTACTAAATATACAAAAATTAACCAGGCACGGGGTGGTACATGCCTGTAATTCCAGCCCCTCGGGAGGCTGAAGAATCACTTGAACTCAGGAGGCAGAGATTGCAATGAGCAGAGATCCTGTCACTGAACTCCAACCTGGGTGATAGAATGAGACTGTGTCCCCCACCCCCCCAAAATATATTAAAGCATATGTGTATAAAACATATGTTTGTAACAGCTGTATTTTTTATGATCAAAACCTGGAAAGAACCCAAATATCCATTAATAATTATTATTGAATGAATAAACAAATACTGGTGTATCCATACAGTGTAATGCTACTCAGCGGTCAGAAAGAAACCATTCAAACATGCAACAACATGAATTAATTTAAAAATAATTATGCTGAGTGGAAATAGCTGGCTAAAAAAGAGCATGTACTGTTTGATTCAATTTTTATAAAATTCTTGATAATATAGACTAATATATAGCAAACAAAAAAAATAATTGGTTGCCTGGAATGGTCAGTGGAGGAGTGGAATCTGGCAGACACAGGTGGAATGGCGAAATTTTAAAGGTGCACCTGGAAAGTTTTGGGAATGATAGACATGTTCATTGTCTTGAGTTTAGTGATGGTTTCTTAGGTATATACAAATATTAAAACTTATTAAATTGTATACTTTATGTCCAGTTTTTTATATAGCAGTTATACTGAATAAATCTTATTACAGAAATAAGACAGCAGAACAAGATTGATATACTGAATCCATCATGACATTTAGTGTCTGAAAGCTACTAAAATTTTAATGAATAGTAGACAAAATTAGAATCAAAAGAATGGGGAAGTGGACCCTGTTGGCCACAGTGAGCTGCTTGGAGTAAATATCAGACCCAAAAAGTTTTATAGAAAAGTGATTATTTTAGGGAGAAAGAGAGATATAGGAGTGAGAGGGAGAGAGAGAGAGAGAAGTGAAAAACAGCTCTCACAGAGTGATAGGTGATCCAGAAAGATGGAGTCCGTGTAGCCAAAGAGCAGGGGAATTTAACCTGGGAGTTACTCCTGCCCCATTCAAACTTTTTGTCCTATGAGAGGTGTTCTTTCAAATTTCTGCTGGAATGATTGATCTCTGTTTCCGGGTAGTCTATCTTCCCAAAAGTCAAACAAAGACCTCTAAGCTCCAGGATGGAGAAGTGGGGAGGTATGGCGTTGGGAAGTTCTTGCCCTTGAAACTGTGCCGCCTGTGGACCTGGGGAGAGAATACATTCCCTCAGTATGAAGCTCATTACTTCAGGGTCTTGTACAGGATATGCTAACCAAAAACGAATTGATTTTGCCTTAGGGTCACAAGACTGTGGGGCCATATGATACACAATGGAGCCCAGTCTTCAAGATGGTTTCCAGTGTTAACTAGGCTATGCTGATCTGCCTCTTTAGAAAAAATGACAGAACTTTAAATTTAGATAATACTATAGTCTAGTTCTTTTTTTTCTTTTTCTTTTGTAAAGACGGGGTTTCACCATTTTGGTCAGGCTGGTCTTGAACTCCCAACCTCAGGTGATCTGCCCGCCTTGGCCTCCAAAGTGCTTGGATTACAGGCGTAAACCAGCCTTTTTTTTTTTTCAGTCTAGTTCTTGAGTATGTAGTTTGATAATTTATATGAATATATATATGTGTATATGTATATGCATATGTATGCAAAAATGTGTATTATATATGTTATATATATAATACCTAACTGAAATTTGTGAAGAAGCATACACTGTAGATAGTGTCTTAGTCTATTTGAGCTGCTGTAACAGAGTATCAGAGACTGGTTGGCTTATAAAAAAAACAGAAATTTGCTTCTCCTTGTTCTGTAGGCTGGGAAGTCCAATATCAATACACCAGAAGGTTCAGTGTCTGCTGTGGTTCCGCTTTTTGTTTAATAGATAGCTGTCTTCGTGCTATGTCTGCACATGGCAGAAGGCATGAGGAAGATCTCTGGAGTTTCTTAAAAGGACAGTAACACAACTTATGAGGGCTCTATCCTCATTATATAATCACCTCCCAAAGGACTCACCTCCTAATATCGTATCATTTGGGGTTAGGATTTCAACATATGAATTTTGAAGAGACATATACATTTATTCTATAGCATATAGGTTATATTGTAGAATGAAATAACAGAGTTGAAATCCTTCACAAAATTATAATATATTTATAAACCTGAAGAGTAGGTGTCACATTAATTGAAAAAAAAAATCAAACTTGGGGTGCTTGGAGAAGCGTGGTTGTTTTGTTCATTTTTGTACCTTAAATTTGTGCAGTTGGATATTCTTCATTTTCTTTTTGGTATTATATTTATTGTTTTGCTTTCCACAGACATGAAGCCGTTATTATATCAGGAACCGAAATGGCTAAGCATATCCAGAAAGAAATAAAGCAAGGTGTGGAATCATGGATTTCCCTTGGAAACAGAAGACCTCACCTCAGTATAATTTTAGTGGGAGATAATCCAGCAAGCCATACATACGTCAGGAATAAGATAAGAGCTGCCTCTGCTGTAGGTGGGTATGTGTTTTAGTTGTAATTGCTACTAAATATGTTTTCTGTTTTTAGTTTGAATTGTGATAGTTATGAATGATAATTATCAAATAAGTACCATTTGAATTACATGTATTATTATTAAAGATTATTCAATTACTAAACCTTATGTTAATTTCATTTGATGTTTCTTCAAAATTTTTATAGGGTTAATTCAGTGTGTTTTATATTCTATGGGAAGAAATGTAAAGAATACATCTAAAAGGCTTGCTTTCATTATATTTGATTTAATCAAATAATAAACCTGGCTTGTTCACTCTGTTAAACTTGGCTTAATAGTTGCGTGGTAGTGATACTTTTATTCTCTTCTAATCTACTAATAGTAGCTTATCTCAAACAAGTACAAGTTGTCACCTGGCATTCCAGGCCAAAGAATGCATGTGAATCAGAGAAAACACTTGTATTATTGGAGAAATCCTTCCTGATGATGCATTAAACATCAGAACCTTTCATTCCAGTAGGAACAGTCCCACACTGTGTCAGACACTATTGATGAAAAACCATATTCAGTTAGTCAAGTGACTTTCTCTGCTTGTTTTTCTTCTAGGTATTTGTAGTGAGCTCATTCTAAAACCTAAGGATGTTTCTCAGGAAGAACTTTTGGACATAACAGATCAATTGAATATGGACCCAAGAGTCAGTGGTATATTAGTTCAGTTACCACTGCCAGGTACCTACTGTTCTTCTCTATATCTGGTTTTGTTAAAAGAGAAACAGAGGGCATCTTTCAACATTATATTATGATACTATAAGTAATTTATAAAACACATTCACAAGGGGACTAACTATTAAACTAGCAATAAGTGTAATCTGAATGATTTGTACTTACACTGACAAAATCCGTGAAACTAAAATTTAGGTATTGGCAATACATGCACTCCTTGCTTCGCACAGTAGTATATGACCCTAAAAATGACAATGTAAGAGGAAACCAGGTAATGTAATCTTAATAATCAAAGGTAAAAATAACAATTTTTCTGTGGCCTTTAAAACTTTTTATCAAAGCTTTAAAATCTTTCCTACTCTTTGAGTGTCTCAAACAGAGGTTGTGGTTCATAAATGTATAGGGAAATGAATAATTAGTAAAATGAAAGTAATATTTTTTAGTACACTGTAATTCAGAAATTAGAAACATTGAGAAATAAAGTGTATGATTTCTTTTGGTAAACTTGTCAAAAGTAGTTAGAGCAGTGTTTCCCTTCTAATTCTCTAACATCAGATGGAACAAGCATCTTTTCTATGCTTTGGTGAATTGAACTGTTATATTCCTTTCAACGTTTAGATTAACTCCCAGTATTTTGTCTGTTGTACTTTCAATGTTGTGTAATTTCCCTGAGAGTTCCTTCACATTTAAAGAAACGTCAATGTGAAGTTACATGTTGGTATCATTTCCTCTGAGACGTTGTCATCTTTTTTGTTCCTATCACTTTCCTCATTTTTGTGATGAGTTCACCTTCATTAAGTTCCTCTGGCTGTGTAACCATCTCTCCAAAGGATTCAATGTCAACATTCTATGGTCAGCTATTTCTCCTACAACTCCATTTGCATTAAATTACAATCCTATGACTTTGTTTTTTATGTTCATTAGAGTTTTTCAACATCGTTCTTCCCTTCACTTCATGCAGGCCTTGGTTTCTCTTGTCTTTGCTGTTACCAATTTCATATCTTCTACCCACTCCAGTTTGCAGCCCAGCATTATCACATTTTCTTTCTTGGCTATATTTTTATTTTTATAGGCTAATCCCCTCTGTCTGTTATCCAGTTTTGTAAAATATCATATGGGTTTATCTCTGGAGGACATGGAGAAAACACACTTTGCTGTCTATGTTTGAAGATTACAAATGTGACCAATCATTTGAAAGAAGTGTATGTAGCAATTGTGAATGGCAGTTTGTTCTTGATTTGGCTTTCTTTAAGTCTGTTATTGGTGTATAGGAATGCTTGTGATTTTTGCACATTGATTTTATATCCTGAGACTTTGCTGAAGTTGCCATTCACAATTGCTACAAAAAGAATAAAATACCTAGGAATACAACTCACAAGGAACGTAAAGGACCTCTTCAAGGAAAACTACAAAACACTGCTCAACGAAATCAGAGAGGACACAAACAGATGGAGAAACATTCCATGTTCATGGTTAGGAAGAATTAATATCGTGAAAATGGCTATACTGCCCAAAGTAATTTACAGAATCAACGCTATCCCCATCAAGCTACCATTGACTTTCTTCACAGAACTGGAAAAAAACCACCATGAAATTCATATGGAACCAAAAGAGAGTCCACATAGCCAAGTCAATTCTAAGCAAAAAGAACACAGCTGCGGGGGGAATCACACTACCGGATTTCAAACTATACTACAAGGCTACAGTAATCAAAACAGCATGGTACTGGTACCAAAACAGAGATATAGACCAATGGAACAACAGAGGCATCAGAGGCAACACAACATATCTACAACCATACAATCTTTGATAAACCTGACAAAAACAAGCAATGGGGAAAGAATTTCCTGTTTAATAAATGGTGTTGGGAAAACTGGCTAGCCATGTGCAGAAAACAGAAACTGGACCCCTTCCTGACACCTTACACTAAAATTAACTCCAGATGGATTAAAGACTTAATCATAAGACCTGGCACCATAAAAACCCTAGAAGGAAATCTAGGCAAAACCATCCAGGACATCGGAGTAGGCAAGGACTTCATGAACAAAACACCAAAAGCATTGGCAACAAAAGCCAAAATAGACAAATGAGACCTAATAAAACTCCACAGCTTCTGCACAGCAAAAGAAACAGTCACTAGAGTGAATCGGCAACCAACAGAATGGGAAAAAATTTTTGCAGTTTACCCATCTGACGAAGGGTTGATATCCAGAATTTACAAAGAACTCAAACAGATTTACAGGAAAAAAACGAACAAGCCCATTTAAAATTGGGCAAAGGATATGAGCAGACACTTTACGAAAGAAGACATATATGAGGCCAACAATCATATGAAAAAATGCTCATCATCACTGGTCATCAGAGAGATGCAAATCAAAACCACATTGAGATACCATCTCACGCCAGTTAGAATGGCAATCATTAAAAAATCTGGAGACAACAGATGCTGGAGAGGATGTGGAGAAAAAGGAACACTTTTACACTGTTGGTGGGAGTGTAAATTAGTCCAACCATTGTGGAAGACAGTGTGGCGATTCCTCAAGGCCTTAGAAATTCCATTTGACCCAGCAATCCCATTACTGGGTATATATCCAAAGGACTATAAATTGTTCTACTATAAGGACACATGCACACGAATGTTCATTGCAGCACTGTTTACAATAGCAAAGACCTGGAACAAACTCAAATGCCCATCGATGATAGACTGGATCGGGAAAATGTGGCACATATACACCATGGAATATTATGCAGCAATCAGAAATGATGAGTTCGTGTCCTTTGTAGGGACATGGATGAAGCTGGAGAACATCATTCTCAGCAAACACAAGAACAGAAAATGAAATACTGCATATTCTCACTCATAGGAGGGTGATGAAAAATGAGAACACATGGACACAGGGAGGGGAGTACTAGACACTGGGGTCTATTGGGGGGAAAAGGGGAGGGCCAGCGGAGGGGGGGAGCTGGGGAGGGATAGCCTGGGGAGAAATGCCAAATGTGGGTGAAGGGGAGAAAGGAAGCAAAACTCACTGCCGTGTGTGTACCTATGCAACTGTCTTGCATGTTCTGCACATGTACCCCAAAACCTAAAATGCAATAAAAAATTAAAAAAAAAAAAGAAGTGTATGATTGGTCTCTGATCATTATGTCATCTGTTATTTTTAGTGATTTGTGGACTAAAGAGCTAGCAGCTCTTGTATAATTACTAAAAATTTGAACTGTGTTGTTGGCAGACTGGTATTATTTCATTAAACTGTGGTTCTGAAATTTGTGCATATTTCAACTGTGCAAAATGAGGACTGCAGAAATGGTATAGGTTACAGTAGTTTTGTAGTTTTTAGTTCTGTAATCTTTGATTAACAATCATTTAACAATCATGTGGTATGCAAAAGTAAAGCTATATAATGCTATTATATGGGATCTTTATATGGAATTAATATTTTTCTTTAATAATATAATATGTTAGCATATGTTATAGCTTTTGTGCTGTTTAAATTATGCCAAAAATTAAATTCTTTTCCTCCAGTATAGCTTCACTGACCAAAAACATCAAGTTGATAAGCATCTTAGAAGCTATCACAGTTTTCTCCTGAGAAAAATGCTCTGACAGATAATGCTTAGATGAATGATGTTAAAGTTAGTATAGTGATAGTATCACTTACATTTAAAACTAAACAAAGAAATTCAACACACACAATACTCTTATAGGAAAATGAGGTCTGGAGAAGATCAGGAGTTAATTAACATCGCAAATCTGACCAAAAAATTTTAACAGTGTTTCTCAATTGTTTGACTAATGCAAAATGAATCTCTTTGTCGGTACTGTATTTATCCAGCAATCTTTTTATAGTTTGCAGTTTCTGAAGTTTTCTCCACTTGGCATTTGTATGACATTTTAATAGCTATGTAACCACATCACAATATTAATTCTTAAAATGTCCATTCTACACAAAGTAACCTGAAAAAAACATTTCTTAAAACAAAACATACAAATGGCCAACAGCTATGTGAAAATGATCAACATTAGTAATTAAAACCACAATGAGATATCACCTCGCACCTATTAGGATGGCTGTTATCAAGAAAATGAGGTAAATGCTGGGGATGTAGAGAAAAGGAGCCCCTGCTCACTGAGGTTTAGAGTGTAAATTGGTACAGCCATTTTAGAAAACAGCATGACAGTTCCTCAAAAAATTAAAAATAGAACACCATATGATCTAAAATTTCCATTTCTGTATATATATCCAAGTGACATGTTATCAATATGTTAAAGAGATATCTTCATTCCTATGTTCATTGTACATTACTTTAAAACACATAATCAACTTTAGTGTCTATTGGTGGCTGAATGAATAAAGTAAATGTTGAATATATACCTAATGAAATAAAAATCAACTTTTAAAATAATGAAATCCTGCCATTTGCTATAACATGGAAGCTGAAGTATATGATACTAAGTAGAATGAGCCAGACACAAAGAGAAAAACCTGCGTGGTCTTACCTGTAGAATTTTAAGACGTAAACTCGTGGAAACATAGAGTTAATGGTGGTTACCAGGGACTGAGGACTGGGAAGGGGATTGTGGAGATGTTGGTTAAAGGATACAAAATTTTAGTTACGCAGGAATAAGTTTTGGAGATCTATTGTACAATGTGGTAACTTAGTAACAACATGCTATATACTTGCAAATTGTTGAAAAGGAGATTTAAATGTTCTCACCATGAAAATACATATCTGATATATTAGATATATTAATTAGATTGACTTAACTATTTCATAATGCATACATATATCAAAACATATTGTACACCACACATATATACAATTTTTGTTAGTTTAAAACTATTTAAAATAGTCATAGTTTTCAAACTACACTGTATTTAGTTTATCACAGATTTCAAACTACATTAGATTGTTTGTCCTAGTGAATTTATATTTGTATAAATTTTACCCCTTTTGAGCAACATTCCTCATTTGGTGAATTTATTAGCAGCTCACTGCTAGCT